TATATTTTTATTAACTTTAATTATTATATAATATTATATTATTAATTAATAATATTATATTATTAAAAACTTCAATTTAAAACTTTAAACTTTAAAGTAAACTTTAAAGTTTCAATTGAATTTAAGTTTAAACTTAAAACTTATATAACTTTAAGTTTAAAGTTTAAAATTGACTTTAAATTTTAAAGTTTATAACTTTAAGTTTAAAGTTTAAAATTGACTTTAAAGTTTAAAGTTTAAAGTTTATATTGAATTTAAAGTTTAAACTTTAAAATTCAATTTTATATTAAAGTTTAAACTAATATTAAAATAGTTGAAAATTAAATTTCTAGAATGACTTGGATTAAATATAAGAGACTATTTTAAAAGAAAATCAAGGCGAATAGCCGTATATTTATTCAAATAAATAAATTGTACAATACAAATATTAGAAAGAGACAAAGAGTACATAATCTAGGTATTGAATATTAATTATTGTACTAACAATTGAAACTTTTTTTAAAATCTTTTCGTAACTTTTGTATCATTTCAAAAGAAATATTTTTTGAAACTTGTATTTGTCGTTCTTCTTCCATTGCATCCATGCCATCATCACTATTATCACCAAATATTTCATCTATTTCATCTTCTATTTGGCTACTTAATTGTGGTAGTCCGATATTTCTTCTTTCGGCATTGACCCAATCTCGAAACAACACCAATATTTCTAAACTATCTTTTGCTAATGAATATCGATGATCTCCAATCATAAATCTCGCCGCACTAAAGGCTTTCTCCGAAGCGACCGATGATGCTTGAATCGCTAGCACATCTCAAACAACCCTAGCAAGGGTCAGAAATTGATTTTCACTATTCTTCCACCATACTAATGTTTGAGCTTGAAGTTGTCCTTCTTCATGCCTAATCTTTTCCCGTGCCTGAGTGAAATATAAATCAAAATCACTATTAGTAGAGGATTCAAGCTCAAGATAATCATCCATCCAATCATCTGTATCATCACTTCTAGGCCTACAAGATGGAGGTTCAACTATTGGAATATTTTTTTCCATAGCTTTATATGTATTATATAACTCTCTAGCTTTTATATATATGCTACTTTTACAATCTTCAACCCTAGGAGTTTCATCATCTTTAATTTCTAAATTAGCATAAATCTTTTCAACCATTCTTTCAACACCTTTTAATTTGTAATTTGGGTTGAAAGTAGTAGCAGTCAAATAGATTTGAGGAATAGGGGAAAAAAATATTTTTTTAATTTTTTCAATCATAAAAGCAAGTGAATCTTTAAATCGATCTTTTCCTCTATATTTTGCAAATTCAGATGAAATAGCACAAATATTTACTAAAACAGAAGAAATAGTTGGATAATATTGACCAGAAGCAGCATTTGTTGCTTTATAAAAAAACACTTAAAAATTCAATAAGTTCTTTTGTATTTTCCTAATCTTCATAGCCAATTCTTAAATTTGGGTCCGCATTATGAGCATTAAAAACTAATTGTACCGGCTCTTGATAAATATAAGCAACTTCAAGCATTTCAAATAAAGAATTCCATCTAGTGCATACTTCTTTTGGAACTTTCTATATTCAAGCCCACATTCTTTACAACGATTTTTAAATTCTATAATTCTAGCTTTTATTTTAGCTTTAAAATTACAATTACAACCGAGTCTAATTTTTTCACAAGAAATTTCAAATTGAGAAATACCATCTTTTACCGACTCTTGATAAATATAAGCAACTTCAAGCATTTCAAATAAAGAATTCCATCTAGTGCATACTTCTTTTGGAACTTTTATATATTCAAGCCCACATTCTTTACAATGATTTTTAAATTATGTAATTCTAGCTTTTATTTTAGCTTTAAAAATACAATTACAACCAAGTCTAATTTTTTCACAAGAAATTTCAAATTGAGAAATACCATCTTTTACTATCAAATTATACACATGTGTGGCACACTTAATATGAAAAGAATCATTATCAATTGGACAAATTCTACATTTTAAATAATCAATTGCTTTTAAATTATTAGAAGCATTATCTAAAGTGACACTCATTATTTTATCACACATTCCATAAAATTGTAAAATAGAGCTTATTTTTATTGCTATATAAGAACTGGTTTTAGTTTCTTCTACATGTTTATACCCTAATATTCGTTTTTGCATGTTCCATTCATGGTCAATCCAATGGACAGTAATTGTAAAATAATCATTACCATTAGGACTACGTCCCATATCAGAAGTAATAGATAATCTACCATCATAATAAACAAATAAACAACGAAGAAAATGACAATATTCTTTTTGATATTTAAAAAGATTACTTTTAATTGTACTTCTTGGAATACCTTCATAATTTGGGTTATACAATTCCCGAATATAATGAACAAAATCAGAATGGGAAGGAAATGAAAAAGGCAAACCACAAACAGCAACCATTTTAAATAATTCTCTACGATTTTTTTCTTTACTATATGTGCGGTGTGTGCTTCGGCTAGCCGGGTTAGTCATATTTAATACACTTTGAACCATATTAGAACCTCCAGCTCCCATAGAATTTTCAGGTTGAGGTATTCCATTTCTATTAGCCCTTTCTATATCATCTAGGCGAGCAAATTCTTTATTACACTTTCTCAAATGTGTTCTTAGTCGTCCCGTTCCCCCTTGTGTACCCGTAGTTACATGTTTCATGATCAATTTACATTTCGTGCAAGTAACAATAGTTTTTTCCTCATTTTGTACCAAAAATTTCCATACTAAAGATCTTTTAACACGTACAACGGTCTTTGAAAAAGTAGGTAAAGAGGGGACTTCATCTTGTTCCGGTAATTCGGTAGCCGAACTAGTAGGGGTAGGGGTCTCATCATCTTCCTCATTTATTTCTACTTCCTCATCTAATTCTTCCTCAAAATTAGTAAAACATCTATTTAAAGTTTCATGATCTACTTCATTTTCGGAATTAAATTCAATAGGTCGTGTTCCCGAATATCCTGAATAAAACCAGGATGTGAAGGAAATGAAAAAGGCAAACCACAAACAGCAACCATTTTAGCTAATTTTCTACGATTTTTTTCTTTACTATATGTGCGGTGTGTGCCAGTCGGGTTAGTCATATTTAATACACTTTGAACCATATTAGAACCTCCAACTCCCATAGAATTTTCAGGTATGGGTATTCCATTTCTATTAGCCCTTTCTATATCATCTAGGCGAGCAAATTCTTTATTACACTTTCTCAAATGTGTTCTTAGTCATCCCGTTCTCCCTGTCTTTATTACACTTTCTCAAATGTGTTCTTAGTCGTCCCGTTCCCCCTTGTGTACCCGTAGTCATATGTTTCATGGTCAATTTACATTTCGTGCAAGTAACAGTAGTTTTTTCCTCATTTTGTACCAAAAATTTCCATACTAAAGATCTTTTAACACGTACAACGGTCTTTGAAAAAGTAGGTAAAGAGGGGACTTCATCTTGTTCCGGTAATTCGGTAGCCGGACTAGTAGGGGTAGGGGTCTCATCATCTTCCTCATTTATTTTTACTTCCTCATCTAATTCTTCCTCAAAATTAGTAAAACATCTATTTAAAGTCTCATGATCTACTTCATTTTTGGAATTAAATTCAATAGGTCCTCGTGACATAAAAGAAGCTTCATCAACATGAGTATAATCATTAGTATTAACTCTATATCTAGGTGGCAAATGTTTAGAACTAGAACTACTTCCTCCTCCCCTATTATTTTTTCCTTTTGACATTGGTCTTTTACCGCAATTTCTTTCCGAATTCATGTTCAAGTTTAAAATAATTAAATATTATGAAAAACAAGAAAGATAATATAACAAAAAAAAATAAACTTAATTAATAAACAAAAAAATTAAAAGTTGAAACGAATGTACTGAACGTCTACGTAAAAGTAGACGTATAACCAAAGCCAGAATTGAGAGATGCCAATTGAAGCTTCCGATTTACTCAAATAAATCTCCGAAATCCGAACTCCAAGTCAATATCACAAAATAATAATTATGAATTTATGAGAGATTTGAAAAATTTGAGAAAATTTTTATAAGATGTTAATGAAATAGTTTGTGAATTTGTGATTTAAATGAAAGAATATGGGTATATTTATAGTGTTAAGGAGTTAGAGAGGGGTGGGGGAAGTTTTGAGCCGTTTTGGGCTCCAACCCAACGGCTAGAAGGGCCCAACAACTATAAATTAACGTTCACCTTTAAAAATAAAAATAAAAGGAAGTGACCATTGAACCGAATTGAAACCGGTTCTTACTGAACCGGATCAACCAGATAAAAATCGGGTTCCGTTTCGGTACCTGTTCTGGTACCCTATAAGATCGGTTCCTTACCGGTTCAACCGGTACCAGACTTACCGGTACAAAAACCGGACCGAAATCGGACCGGACCAGCCAAAACCCTGTCGAATTGCCAGCCTTACCTACACGCCATGCTCCCTCAAAGAAAATAGATGAAATTTTTCCAAGTATAGAGAGTTATACAAATGAAACACCCTTAAAGAAATAAACTATCATTGACATTAGAAATATTTCGAGTGACTTCTTGATCATTTTTGTCTCAAGTAAGGACAAAGGAGTGTTGTCGTCGACTAGTTTATCTTGCTTTAATATTCAAGTTTTTTTGTTGTTCTATTTTCTCTTTTTACTTGTAGCTTTCTTTAAAGTATTCACCTTGACAATGTTATGCAGATTTTCTTCCTTCGGAAATGATAAGTAGAATTCCAGGCACCGGAATGGTGAGTTGTATTGGGTTTTCTTTTCTCAGTAACTTTACTCACTGGTTTTAGGGTTTTCTTTCCACGAATTTTTTACCAAAATAAGTCATTATTTAAACCAATTCATCAAAATAGTATGTTTTTTGAATTTTTTACAAAACTAGTATAAATGGACTTGACAGTAATGTATTAGGTATTATTTTATTTTTAAAAAATGACAAAAGGACAAGCAACTGATGGAGTAAACAGACTTAAAATGTTACCGACAGTAACGTTTTAAACTTAAAACGTTACCATCAGTAACGTTACATCAGTAACATTTTAAACTTAAAACATTACCATCAGTAACGTTTTAATGCCAATAACATTTTTAGCTTAAAAAGTAGCCCCTTTATGTTAACCTCTGTTATTTCAATCTTTTCTATTAAAAAATTGTACTCCTTTATGTCAAAATTTATCTTACTTCTTGGTGCCTGAAGATATATCTAGAGAAAAAACAAGAATTGCTGCCAAGGATGTACTACACTCTAGCAGCCTAGGTTTATTGCATATATTACATGTATACATTCATGCATTTGCATTGGCTTTGATATTTGATAGTATGAGAAAAGTGATATAGCACTAACACTACAACAAAAACAACTTTTAGCGGCAATAAATATTGACATTAATAAAGAGTGCTAAAATCTTTACTAGCATTAGTTAAGTGACATTAGAACTAATGTCGCTAAAGGCTTTAGGGACATATTTTTGATGTAGTGTAATATCATGATATTCAATAACACAGTGCTAAGTAACTCATTGGGTTATCACTCTTGTTGTTTCGTGTAAGATAGAAAAATTTTCTTGAACTCATTTTATAATTCGCTCATTTAGTACTCATGACTACTAATAAGAAAACAAAAAAAAGATTAGTATTATTAATAGTGAAGTAAGGTACAAGTAAAACTAATTAATTTGATGTGGCATCAACATGTTACGTAAAAAGCTGAAGAGTTTGTGTCCTTACAGGGACTAATTAAGGAGAGAACATTTGAGAAAAGTATAAATAGAATTGTTCCGCCTCCTGCAATAAAAATGTTTCTTCCACATGAGGAAGATCTTACTTTATCCTCAAGATGAAAAATAGAGGAATTGCAATTGAAGCTACATGGAAGGCAAACATAGTTTCGAAATGGTGGCAAATTTGACAAAAATAACAAAAGATTTTGCATTAATACGGCGTGAACAAGAGCATCACAGTAGATCAAATGATCGACAAGGACTTACTTGACTGGTCTATTTTTCACTTAGCACTTCATTCAGAAACGCAAGAAAAGGCCAGCGTTTATAGCTTAAAAAAACATTTACAACTTCTGATAATTGCAAGACTAAGAACAGTAAACAACACCCTCATAATTAAGTTGCTAGAGAAATTTGGATCAGTTTTCAAAGCTTAAAACATTTACAATAAACATAATATATCACACAATCGATTCAATAACCAAATGAATACATATACTCGATAACAGTTTTTTCTTCATCAAAATTCCAAAATATAGCTTCTTGTCACTGTTGAGTTCTAAATAACCTTCCCACGGAAAGTCTTCACTTCAAAATTTAGCCTTTATTTTTTTCTTTTTGCCGTGCTGATAAAGATATAATTACTTCCTGGAAAGTAAGGATAAATTTTCAATTATTTTAACTAAAAAAAAGAGCAATTATGTGAAGAAATAATGTAAAAATGTTAAAATATCAATTATATTAATAGAATACAATATTACTCTAACTATGAGTTAAATAACAAGCACACACTTGTATAAGAGGACTTGTTGATTCATGATAAACCATTACAAGTAAAGCAGAAGCTCCAACTGTCAACTTCCAAGTGAAAATTTTCTTGTTCTATATTTAGAAAGTAGAAGCTAAAGTATTCTAATTGCTTTTTCACTGTAGCAATGTTGAAGTGTTCAAATTGTTTTCTTCACTGAACAAAAGGTACCAAAAATGCACCTCAGAAAGTATTTATATCTTAAATACAGTGCGTGCATGACTTAGAAAGATATGACTATTCCTATTAAATTGAATCGAAAGAAATACAAATCACTTACCATTGCTTCATATATTGTTGAATTTTCCATTTAAGCTTACTATCACTGATAGTGAGGACGCGGAGTAGGATTAACAATAACAAGATGAGTAATGAGATGTTTCTTTACGAGATCCCAAAACTTTCATCACCTCTCCTCGTATATAGAATCAAATTAACACTTCTATTACATATATATCGTGACTTATGGATGAGTTGTTTAGTTACTATAGATGATTCAAGTGGATCGAAATCCAGTTGATATGAATTATTACCAGCCATAAAAAAGATACATATGAAACGAAAAACACGTATAAAAGTAAACTTAAATGTAAACCTGAATTGCTAGTCTTAGAAGATTGCACGCAAATCAAAATAAAATTATTAAAATAGACAGTATCCTATAACACAAGGTAAGTAGGATCAAACATCCTCTAAATCTTTTACACTAGTACTACCACGCAAAGCCAACTATTCCTCAAAAACATACCAACTTTTTTCCTATTTATTTTTGGGTTTGGTATTGCTTATCGACAGAGTATCCTCTGTTATTTATTTATGCTTGGACTTTTAAGGGATAAGTGCAATCAACAATGGCTCAATTTGTGTGAGTAATTTTTTTCTTTTTATGACCTTCCTTGTATCCATATCCACTGACCAAGTTCTTTTTTAGTGAACTAAGTATAATTTAGCATAATTATTTTTTTATGACAAGAATAACTCACAGTCACTACCCTTTAGATACACACAGGGTTTTACCCTACTCCTAATAATTTAGCACAACTATTTTAGTGAACTAAGACCTCATCTGAGAATTACAGATGTGTAATGGTTACATACATCATATTGATACAGTGGTTACAAATTACTACACCCAATCTAGTCACCTGAGAGCAAATACAGTTTTGTATTGTTCACATTACAAAAGGGAAGTCAAGTCTTACTGATAGAGCTAATGAAACACTTAGCTTAATAGTGCAACAATGCAAGTCTTACAATTTAGACTTCAAAGCTGAATGACTCATTAGCTACAAAAAATAAAACAGAAGGGTCTCTCTTGCAAAATTGTCTCATATCAAATATTTTAGAGGTAAGATTGATATTTTTTTTTCCATATAAATTAGAGCAGCTGGCAGCGACAAGAAATTTTGAAATTACTAAGTTAACGATGATAATATATGTGAGTTACATAAAAAAAATAGACATACCTCATCCTTTTAACGATAAAGATGAGACATTTACAAAGGAAAATAATGACCACCCCTAACCCTTTATAAAATTAGATTTCACCAAATCAAATCTAGATGGACAGAATTATGAACTGTATGTCAGCTAAATTGTGGGAATATTAAGATGATATTCAAGCATTTCTTCTATTATGTAAAGAGAAAACATACCTCAAGCATAAAAAAAACTATGTTCTATACTTTTCGAAAGATTTATGATAGTAAAGTTGTCCTGAATCTCGTCTTTCCGACAACACCGACGGCGACGGATTAGGCACAGAGCAGCAAGGGTTGGGAACGTCAATGAATCTAATGGGGAGGCTGCATAAGGGTTTTGAAACGCATAACATAGTGATGCGAACGACATCGTTTGTTTTAGTTTGGGGATAAGTTACTTTTTAAGCTTAAAACGTTACTGTCAGTAACGTTTTATCATTAAAACGTTACTGTCAGTAACGTTTTCAGTTTGTTTACTCCGTCAAATGTTTGTCCTTTTGTCATTTATTATTTTTAATAAAGTAATACCTAATACGTTACTGTCAAGTACGTTTATACTAGTTTTGTAAAAAATTCAAAAAACATACTGTTTTTGGTGAACTGATTTAAATAATGACTTATTTTGGTCAAAAATTCTCTTTCCACGGTACTCTGAGAACAAAGCAGTTATATTGTCCTGTGTGGTTTTGGCAAAAAATAGAAGGATGTGTTATTCCATTCAAGTTTTCAGGATCACTTACAACAATCAGGTAGGTTACTACTAAAAAAAACTGTAAACAGAGTCCTAAAAAAGAGACCTCATGAGCTCTCTTTTCCCCGAAAAGAGACCTAGAGACTGCAACGATAGGTCGCTAATATGTAGGTGGCTTTTTTGTAGAGACCTCATGAGGTCGCCAAATAGAGACCTCACGAGGTCGCCAATTATTTTTCCAGATTTCTTAAAAAAGAGACCTCATGAGCTCTCTTTCCCCGAAAAGAGACCTAGAGACTGCAACGATAGGTCGCTAATATGTAGGTGGCTTTTTTGTAGAGACCTCATGAGGTCGCCAAATAGAGACCTCACGAGGTCGCCAATTATTTTTCCAGATTTCTTAAAAAAGAGACCTCATGAGATCACTAATTTATTATTTAATTTAATTTTATTCTTAATGAAAGAGACCTTGTGAGGCCACTATTGTACTATTTATTTTTATAAAAAGAGACCTCATGAGGTCTCTTTTCTTAAAACTTTTTTTGTTAATCAAGAAAAGTGACCTCGTGAGGTTGCTTTTATTGTCAAAAAGAGACCTCACAAGGTCTCGTTAATGCATTTCTAAAAAATAAATTGCAGTAAAGAGACCACATGAGGTCTCTTTTTTGCATTTTCTGGAAAATAAAAAAATTGATAGCTTACGTTGCTTCTGTAGCTATCCCCTGCTATTTTTATTCAATTCAATAATAAATATATTATTAATCAGCGAAATCAAGCTCAAAGAGCAGTCAACAATCAATCAATACAACAAAATACATTTACTAAATATCCTCTTATCAACTCAATATGAAAATCAACATAATTTATTTACTAAAGTAATACAGAAACAAACTTAACTTTCCCCTGCCCTGTCCTTGTTGACATCATGTGTTTTCTAGGAATTATGGGATTCAACCAGCTCAACTTTTTCTCCATTTTCATTGTCACAAAATATTCCCTTCAGGTTTGATTTTCAAACAAGTCCATAGCAACATTATATAGCCAGCCTCTTATCAATTCCTGACATATCGCTTAGAGCCACAACACAGTAAGCTATCGAATACAGATCATGTTTCTGATTCTGATCCATGTCGCTGCTCTTTGATCTTTTTGGATTGTCAGGACCAATACCATTCCTCTTATTGGAACTGCATTTTGGTGGCTTTGTCAATTTACGTTTGTTTCATTTACTAGAGTTGCTCCAGGATCTGTAGAAGAAACAACAAATTCTCCAGTAGCTATTGGTCTCGTGAAAGTATGACACAACTTCTCATATATAGGGCTACCATATTTTCTATTTGGTGTTATCTCAGGATGTACCTGCA